TTTTTGAGATGTGTGTAGCTGAGGATGACTTGAAATTTTGATTCTCCTGCTTCTACCTTGAGTGCTGGGATTACAGATATGCACTATCACACCCACTTAATCTTTTTAGTTTAGCTAGTGGGTTTGGTTGAGAATGTTGTTTAGTCCATTAGAAATTCCATCTCCTGAAAAGAAACACATCCACTGTTAAATTTTGTTGTGCATTGTTCTAGCTCTTTGATACGTGTTTTGCTAAAGATGGTTGCATTTTAATAAGTACATCTAATTGAGCACTTAAAATGTAGCACATGTTGTGGTAAGTGCTGTTCTTACATTTGCCAATAGAAGGATATAATCGACGTAGTTCTGATGATCTTTACTGGTATTTTTCTTAGTTTCTTTCCTGATATTTTACCTAGCTATCATGTTGTTTGTTTAGCTATTATTTAACCATTTCTTTTCAAAATATCAGTGGCTCCACAGACTTAAGGACTTACTATTACTGTTTAAGAATGAAAGCATGGGGCAGCAATACCGGCAGAGTAAGCCTTTAGGGACCAGAAAGAGAAATGGAAACACGTAAAGCATCTCAGTTATTATTTGATTAAAAAGCAATAAGGAGCATTTTAGAGTTTAGTGTTCTTCCTTATTCAATTTTCACAATAATAGTTTTTAAAAAAGCATGACTGCAGCATTAGATGAGAAATCCAAGCTCAAAGGATTATCACAGCTCCTCAGAAGCAGAGACAAGGATTCAAGCAGTTATTCTCTAGGTGGGACTGAAATGGTCCCTTCCATCTTGTGCAGTTTCCATGTGCACCCTGGTGTTTTTCCGCAGACTCCTGATGGGCAGGACCACTTCTTTCACATGTGGACTCTCCTACAGAGCCCACCCTGGCTCCTCTAGCAGGAACGTGTTTGAAAAACTGAGAATTTTGTTTCTGGTTTTATTGGGGCCATCTCTGCTGAACTACTGAACTTCGAAAAAGCCCTCTTAGATCTTTGAGTGAGAACAAAGACAGGGATTTTGGAATGACTCATTGGGAAAGGGCCAATGACAAACCTGACAACCTGAGCTCAGTCCTAGAACCTACATAGTGAGTAGAGAATGGGCTCCTGCAAGATATCTTCCCTCCCACCACACATGCCTGGCACACATGCACACACACACACACATACACACACACACACACACACACACACACACACACACACACACACAAGCACAAGCACCCAAGCATGCACATGCACACTAAATAAACAGTAAAAAAAAAAAAAAGTTAAGCAAACAAAGACAGTCTGGGAGACAGGGGACACTGAGGAACAGGTGACCAGGACCTCTTTTCCCCATGGTTGACTCCTGAGGCCCACCCATGCCCACAGCAGCATTACACGTGGTTGCTTTTATACATGCTGTCCTCAAACAGGCTACAAGGTAGGGCCAGAGGGAACACCTGCCTTTATTTTATGGATGAAGAAATCGAGAGATTAAATGACCTGTTCAAGGGCAACCATTTATTAAGGGTCACAAGAGAGCCTGATGCTGTTACCTCTCTCTCTCTCTCTCTTTCTCTCTCTCTCTCTCTCAGCGTTGTTGTCTTCCCATTACGCCCCTCTTGGTGCCTTTTGTGATTTTTCATCTCCTGACACCACAATCACTGCAGTTTAAATTGGTTAAATGATCTTTGTGCCTGTGTCTGATTTCTTTGTTAATTGCCTTTTGTTTGCAGAGAAGAGGGTCAGAGGTTCACTGTGCAGGTTCAGAGAACTTTTCCTCTTTTCTCCAGACCTTTCTCTTGTTTGTGTTGTTCATTTGATTTCATTTAGTTTTTGCCCAGAAACAATTAAAACAGTCAAATGCCTGTGGGGGGTGGTGAGTGACGCTGATGGACTAAGCCAGCCATACAGCTATCTTGTCATAGTATAATTATGCTGTAAGGATCACGAACTAACTCTGTAATGGAAAATACTAACAATAATTAAAAGGTGAAAATACCAGAAAAAGGGAAATTGTCAATTTCTCATTCTTTATAATCACAAAGCACTAAAGGACTAAGAACTGTCTGAGTTCCCATTCTTATGAGCTTCTACCCAGTTCTACACATTCTTTGCACACCATGTGCATTTTAGATTCCTATTTCCAAATCTATAGGGTAGGTCAGTAGCACTTGGGTCACCTGGAAGCTGGACAGCAGTGCTGATTCCCAGGCCATACTCCAGACCATGAAATTGGACTTGAATTTTTAAAGGATTCCTGTACACAGTCAATTTGAGAAGCATTTGTTCCCATCAGCCTTATGTTCATTGTCCATGGATTTCCACGGGTCTGTCTATATACCGCTGTGTTCTTGAGATCCTGTGAGTCATGACTAAAATGCCCACTCCAGCCCTATTTATCATGATTCCCCTTTAGAAATTCTACTATTTTCACTTCGCCTAATTCCTTCTGTCATGCTCAGGCCTCATGACTGTACTTAATTGATTTCCTTTCTTTTGTTTGGCTTTCCTCTTTGTAACTGGCCTACACCTTGCCTGTCCTTGAGAGATACCAAGTCCACAGAACTGTTCCATATTCATTCAACTAAAATAATCTTATCTCTTTTCTGTGCTCACTTTATATTACAAAGTCCAGTTCACTGTGCACATTGTGGAGACAGCATTCTGATGGTCTTCAAGCTTAGTTTGGTGAATGCCACATGGTGTGGCTCAGAACAAACCACAGCCTTGATTCTAATTTAATTCTGTTAGAGCTCCTCCCTGGACACTAGCAGGGACCATGGATTGACCTGTCTCCATGTCTCTGGGCTTCCAAGCAACTAAGGCCAATTAAGACTTGCCTTGTTCTTGGGGTGAAAGCATCCAAGCAGAAAAGTATCTCAAATCTATCAAGATGTTAATGACCTGTGGCAGGACTCTGGCAGTTACGAAAGCACCTCTGCTGCCAGAATCCATTTGTATTGGGTGGGTGTTTTCAACAGCCACTTAATTAGACACATTGCTTTTCTCTATACATTCTCCATGGTGGCAACCTCATCCAGATAGCTAATGGTCCCTGAGTGACCTGCATTATAGGACAGTGAGGGCATTAGTTACTGCGGTCCCAAATGTACTTGGAAGTATTTGTTTTCCCAAGACTGCAACCAATTAGGAAGGACTCAGAAAGGGCCGAGAGAC